GGACCCATGAGATGATCCAGATGGAATGTCTTTGTAAACTGTGGTCTCCTATTATTAGCAGCAGCGTGAGCTCATATTGGGCCCTCTGGCCCAGCCTGGACCAAGAGACTCTTCCTGGCCAGTCCCCCAGGACTCCTGGGAACCAGTTCTGCCTCTGAGAGGCTGCTTCCTGCAGGCTGCCCTCATGGGTCACCAGGGCTGGGTGGAAAGACACTTTGTGGGCAGGGAGTGAATGGGGAGCAGATGGACTTAACCCCTCTCCTTGGGTGGCGTGGGGGTCTGAGATCAGCTCTGGATCTGCGCAGGCTTCCCCTGTCCCTTTGTAGTTGGCCTGAAGCTGGGGTCAGGAAGATTTACTAAGACTTACTTATTCACCTGCCCATCTGCTGCCCTGGGCGATGCTGGGGAACAGACATGGATCAGATCCAGCCCAGCCCTTCCCCCAGCTTCCGGGAAAGATAAAGACTTGAAAATAGACAAATACAACCCAAAGTTATTGGCACAAAGGACCAGGGAGTTAAGAGTATGGGTTCTGAATCAGATTAGGGGAGGAGGGAATGTTCTGGAAGGATGAGATAGTTAGGAGCGAGCCTGGTGAAGGCCGTTCTAGCATGGGTAGTAGCCCGAGTGAACCTGGAAGAAGACACAGTTACCATGCATAGGCCTGGGGTCACAGGCCTTGTGTGGATTCCAGCTCTGCTCCGCCCTTGCTTAAGCAGCTCTGGGAAATTTCTGAGCCTCAGTTTCGATAACTGCAAAATGGAAACATTTTCAGCAGCCGCCTCACAGGGTTGGTGAGAGGATTAAACTATCAGTCATGCCTCTGTGCACCTGGGCTGGGCCTGGTGTTTTGAGCCTCCTGAGAGTCGATGGCCATATTTTTACTCATAGTATATGTGAGTGCTGGGGGCAGGAATGAGACAGTAGGCAGGGGACCTGGCGTTGGCTCGGGGTCCAGATGCAGAAGCGAGGAGAAAAGTGGAGGAGACAGAAAACACCGCTTTTTTCCGACTTCCTCCAATAAGCAGCTCTTGCCTGCTCCTCAGGGCCAAAGAAACCTCGAGAAAGGGAAGTGCTGACTGCCCTGACTGCAGTGTGGGTGCCTTGTCTCTGTCCCCGTCCTCCTCTTCTGCTCTCTGGTGGCAGTCTGGGTTAGATGGTGAGGGTATGTTCAAGGGTAGCCCTCACAGGGACAAAGGCAGCTTGTACCAGAGCTGACCAAGGGAGGCTGGCAGGCTGTTCCTGGGCTGCCCCTCTTTCCTTCAAGGCAGCCTTTGGACTCTGGGATTGAGAACTGGGCTCTCAAAGCTCTGAGATGGCACTGCCAGGCGATGTGACCTACTGTGTCTGCAGTGGAGGATGAGCTTTGTGGTCCCCCCATGTAGGGAGCAGGGAGACTCCAACAACCTGGTGTAGCCACAAGGCCTGCTGAGTCCTGGGGGGTCTGGCCCTTCCCACTCCTGTTGCAGAGGGCGTCTGGGAGGGGTGTGGCTCTGCAGGCCCCTGGGCTGTCTGGGGAGTGGCTGGGAAGTCTGAGCTCCCCACTGCCTTCCCCACAGGCACCCCTTGGTTGGACTTGTCACTGGAGAGCTTCCCTGGGGTGAAGCTGCAGGACTGACGGCCCAGAAGATTCCCGGCCTCAGTGTGGACCCAGCCTCTGCAGTCGAACAGGGTCCTACCCTCTGGGAGCCCCCACAGTGCCCAGCAGCCCCTTTCCCAGCCCCCACCTCAGGTCCTGGAAGCTCAGAGCCCTTGCCTGTGTCCTGCCGTCACCAGCCACTACCCACAGCCTAGCAGACAGCCCCAGCCACAGGCCATCCTTTGTGAAGCCACCCTCTCACGCTGGGCTCCGCCAGGAGGGGCTGACCAGCATTCTGCCTGCAGCTGGGACAAGTCCCTGAGAGGCCTGGTCCCCTGGGTCCCCACGGGAAGAGACGAAGCTGGCAGGAGTGCAATGGCCTGCACAGTCACAAACAGACGGCCGTGCCGGGCGGGCGGGGAGGCAGCTGCTCATGGAGGAAGAATGTTCTCGCCTTCACTTCTGCAGTGGAGAGCCCTTCGGCTTACTGAGACCTATCCTGGCTCAGGCTCTGGGCGGGGACTTGTGTGGAGAGGTGGGACTCTTGCCCTTTTAGGGAAAAAAGACTGGAAGGAACATGGAATTGCTAGTGTTTCTTCTTCAGCAGGCCTGGGTGCCAGGGAGAATTCCTAACCAGCTCCCCGTGGTGCCAATGCTGAGTCAGGCACCACACTTTTGAGAGCCACTGTGGTTCAAGGCCAGGTGGAGGAAGTAGGCATGGTTTGTGTTTTGTGTATTTTTGTGTTTCTATGATTGTTTTGCTTTTATAGCAAAACAGTTACTTAAAAGTTAAATATGCGGGTCTCAAAAATGACTACAGTGTTCTGGGTATGGGCCTATGCGGAAAGATGTCACCTTCCACGATCTAAATGCTATACACCTGGTAATATAGCCCAGCGTCACGAGCTTACAGGTTACTGCTCCTTGTCTCAATCCAAACTTGAGTGTCCACTCAGACCCCCACATGCTCCCCACTAACAAGTTGGATAAGTGAGGCGCTAGGAATGGCATAGCGAGGATTTGAATTCTGGCCCAAGAGGCTGAGCTTAGTCTGGATTCAGCAGCGTCTGCTCGCACTTCCTGAGTGCCGGTCCCCTTGCGCTTCCTTACTCCGCCAACTGAATGGGCCCTGGACCCCTCACTTCCTCTTTTCTCTCACTGGTGTGATCATTGACTGTCCCACTTCCTCCTTTCCCACTTCTGTCCCGTCTGCTTGGCGCGGTGGTGGGTGGTGAGTCTGAGTGCTTTGGCGCGGGGTGCCCTGGTGAGGGGAGGGCCATCCACTTTAGCGGGTGCTGCTGAACACACACCCAGAACAGAGGCCCTGGGGCAAGTGGGGATTGAGCCCCTCAGGGGACAGCAGAGTGAGCCAGCATCTGTGGGGATGCAGATGTTACCTGTCCCCACTGCCATCCTCTCTGGGGTTCAGAACCGCTGAGAAACAGTCCCGGGGCATCAGATGATGGGAGACCTCTAAGAGCCGCTTGGAGGATCCCTGCCAACTCTCCTGGAATTAAACCCCAGGCTGTTCTCCGGTCCCCATAGGGAGCCGCCCCATGGCACAGGCTGCCTTGGGCCCCTGTGTGCTTGCTCCCCCCCTGGACTCCAGTCAGCTGAGGCCCCACATCCCAGGCCCTTCCTTCCCTTGTTCTTTGGGGAAGGGGGGCTCTGAGGGCTGGGGCCTCCAGCTCTCCAGATCTGGTCCTCTCTCTGGAGTGTCCCGTCTCCTCCTGGGACCCCTCCACCCCGCTGCCCCCTGCTTCCATCAGCGCCAGCCTCGGGGGCCTTCTCGGGCAAGTCCGATCCCTTACGACTCCGTTTCTCTTTTTAATGTGCAGTGTTATTCAAGGAGTCAGTCACACTAAAAGCAGATGTCATTATCCCCTGTGTGACTCGGTTTTCACCTGTGTCACGGGACAGACTAGTCATGCACCTCTGCTGCCGGTCCCCCACACTGCCTCACTCAGCATTTCGCATCGTACACCTGTCCTGTTTTCCACACCTGGACCTGCACTGGTGTGTTCCTGCGGTGTGTTGGTCAGGAGCCTGTAAGATGCTGAGCTGGGCGTGGGGATACTGCGGGTGGGGTGGCCTTCCAGGCTCTCACAGTCGCTGGGTCGCAAACTGTTCCACAGAGTATAGCAGATGTGCCAACGATTACAAAGGAGAAGTGAGGGACAGCTGGGAGCTGGTGACAGAGGTGGCAGGAGCTGCCCTGAGGAAGTGAGGTCACCTCTCAATCCCTTCCACTTAAAACTCAAACCCAGACTCCTTTCTCGGCCCCTGAGGGACCTAGTAAGGCTGATCTGCGTCTGTTACCCAGTCTTAAATTACCCCGTAGCTGCCCTGTGTTTCTTGCTGTGTCTTGAATGCACTGAGTTCTTTCCTGCCTCTGAGCCTTTGCATACACTGTTCCCTCTGCCTGGAATAGTCTCTCCCTGGCACTCTTGTATGTCTTCCCTTCTTGCCTCAGCTTAATGTCCTTTTAAAGATGACCTCCCTGACCATGCATCACCTTCACCAACCACTCTATTATATTACACGCATTGCTATGTTTTTAATTTTGTTTTGCTTCCATAGCACTTAACAGTATATGAATTTTAAAATATTTTTGTTTACTGTGTGTTTTCCTAATGAGACTTGGGGCAGAAGATCCTGAAGGAACTGGTCACTACCATCCCTCCCTGCCCCTGTGCTCACTACAGGGCCTCACACAGAGTTGGCACTCATAAGTGTTGGTTGGGTGTTCCCCAGTGTATTAGTTTTCTGTTGCTGCTATATCAAATCACCACAATTTAGTAACTGTGTTAGTCAGCTTTCTGTTGTTGTGACAAAATACCTGAGATAATCAACTTAAAAAGAGGAAAGGCTTATTTTGGTTCACAGTTTCAGATGTTTCAAAGGTTGCTTGGCTTCATCACTTTGGGCCTTGGTGAGGCCCATCGTGGCGGGGAGTGCATAGCAAAGAAGACTGCTCACCTTTGGCAATAGCCAGGAAGTAGAAAGAGAGAGAGGTGGGGGGGGGGGAGAAAGCCCCAATGATCTAATAATATCCTTTCATTAGGTCCCATGTCCTAAAGGTTCCACCACCTTCCAGTAGTGCTGCAGGCTGGTGACAAGCCTTTAACACATGGCCTTTGAGGTATATTTAAGATACAGACATCACCGTGGATTATCTTCCAAGAAGCCACTTTGGAAGATTATCTTCTAATTCTGGAGGTCAGAAGTCTGAAAATCAAGGTGACAGAGGGCTGGGTCCCCAGGAGGCTCTAGGGGAGAATCTTTTTCACTTGCCCTTGGCAGCTTCTAGGGGCTGCCTGCATTCCTCGGCTCACGGCCCCCTCTTTCCTCTGCAAAGCGCACCCAGCACCCTGGCCACGGCCCTGGAGCCCAAGGTTCTGATCGCTCCTTCCTCTTGCAGGATGAGATTGAGGAGCTGCGGGCAGAGATGCTGGAGATGCGGGATGTCTACATGGAGGAAGATGTGTACCAACTGCAGGAGCTGCGACAGCAGCTGGACCAGGCCAGCAAGACCTGCCGTATCCTGCAGTACAGGCTGCGCAAAGCTGAGCGCCGCAGCCTTCGTGCTGCCCAGACTGGCCAGGTGGACGGAGAGCTCATCCGAGGTCTGGAGCAAGATGTCAAGGTCAGCCCTGGGGCTTCCCCTGACCCTCACAGGTGCCCTTGATGGGGTTTGGGCCATGAGCCCTAGTGGGGTCTAGGTCAGTCCTGTGACTCACTCCTGTGTGTCCTTGGCTATGCAGTACCCTCAATCTGTTTCCCTATCTGCAAAGTGGTCACCCCTAGTGAACCAACAGGCCTTCTGCCAGGGGTACCCCAAAGTGATATAATAATATTAATTCTACAAATAGCTGTTTATTGAGCATCAGTTACAGACCTGGTTTGGGGCTCTGAGTAGTCCCTCCTTGGTTCCATGGAGGTTTCTTCATGCTAATGAGACCTGGAGTTGGGCAGCACTTGTTCAGATCTTGGATCCAGTATGTCTGGATTTTGTGATTTTTGAGTAAGTCACCTGCATTTCAGTTTCCTAATCTGTAAAATGGGTGTAAGAATAGCTTCTCTCTCAGGTCCAGTGTCGCCAGACAAGCCACGCTTCACCACCAAGAGGCCCAACCCTTCTTCTAGGTTCAGCGCCCCCCCCCCCCCAGGTTACCCAGATAAACTCCTTGGTTCTTAAGTTAAAAAAAAAAAAAAAAAAGAATAGCTTCTCTCTCACAGAGTCCTATGAGAATTAAATTAGGTAATGTACATAAAATGACCATAAAACCCAAAAAATGTTAGCTATTATTATTTCCATTTTCTGAATGAGGCATCAAAGGCTCCACAGAAAGGAAGTTCCTGTCCAAGGTCACAGGCCTCCTCTGTGTGTAGGTGGCAGAGCTCAGGCTCATGTGCCTCCCAAGCCTCAATGTCTGGTTGCTGCTCTCCACCTGAGAAAGCGGGGGGAACATGGGGGAGAGTGGGGAGGAGAGGGGCACGCAGGTGGGGCCCCCTGGAGAGAAGCCCACCCTTGCCTGTGTAAGCCCTGATCTAGGGGTGGGGAACTTCTTGGGGGTCTTGCTCTCTGAACTCAGCCCAGTATGATCAGGGGGATGATGAAGAAGCTGGGGATGGAGTCACTTGGCACAGTCTGAGGGGTCCTAGGGAGAAGTGGGTATGTCCCAGGGAGGGTGCTGGAGCAGCACTCCAGGGAGAGGGCTCCTGAAAGGGCCCAGGGAGCTGGTAGGTTCGGGATTAGTCACACACATACCCAGAGAGAACCTCCCCCTTACACCCTTTCTGCTAGAAGGCACTGGCAAATTCGAGCCACGAGTGGAATATCAAAGAAAACAATACTGAAGGACAGCAAGAAGTGATTTCAGAGGTCTGCAGGGCCCGCGAGTGTCAACAGAGGCTGCCAGCTCCCCCAGGCGATTGCGCAGTGGGACAGGAGGAAACTGATCTCACAACAGCGGCTTTTGGCACCTCTACCCTGGGGGGCAGCTCCTGGGCTTAGTGGCTACACAAATTGTCCCATTCCAAGCGCGGCCGGCCTCGGAGGCTGTGGAGGATCACCTGAGCCCAGAGGTCCTGGCCAGCCCGGGCAACACGGGGGGACACCGGCTCCCCACCCGCCCCCTTTCAAAAATAAAACGCGCCTAGTTCCGGAGTGGGGTGAAGAGTGGGTGGTGGGGAGCGAGCTGGGGAAGCTCAGCCGGGCTGCGAGGCCACGTTTGGACGCAGGGCATCGAGGATTTCTGGAAGGAACATACAAACAGACGGAGAGGGAGAGGAAGGGGTGGAGGGCCCGCGGGGCCGGGGCTGCGGGGCTGCGGGGTGGCGCGGGCGCCTGGGGGGCGGGGCCGCAGCAGCGGGTGGGTGTGAGGGGGAGGCTTCCCGGAGGCGGGGCGCAGCGGAGCCCCCTTCAGTTGGGATTTGAACTAGCCAATCAGCGTCGACCTTGCCCCTCCCCTCCTCGATCCACCCTTGCAGCTGCAGGGCTGAGCTCATCCGTCCGCTGGCCTCGCCTGACTTGGCCGCCTCTGGCCGCCCCCCCCCCCCGCCCCCACGCCAGTGTGCAGGGGATGTCCCGGGGCAATTTTGGAAATCCTCAGTATGTTGACTTCCCGGCCATCGCCTAAGAGGGCTTGATGGGCCCAAGTGGAGCCCTAGCAGGGTATCCCTGGGGACTCTCCTGACTTGCTCAGTCAGGTCCTTGGACCCGGCCCTGACTGATCCCACCACTTGAGATGCCTCAGCCTCCCCTTATCTTGTTTTTGTGGTGCTAGATATCGAACCCAGGGCCTTGGGACATGCTAGGCAAGAGCTCTACCAGAGAACTCTGTCCCAGCCTCCCCATGTGTTAATAAGGGCTTAGACTAGCTGAATCCTCAGGTTTGGGGTTCTAGTGGTTTTCCTGGGCTGGTGGATTGTTGGGGAGGGCTTCATGAATGAAACCTCAGGCTTGGTTTCCCCTACCCCACCTCCAGCTTCTCTCACTCTGCTGGGTCATGTAGTTGACAGGACCTACAGAACCTGAGTGGCCTCACTGCCCAGCAACAGGAGGGCAGAGCCTTCCTCTGCCACTTCCTTACTGTGTGGCCTTGGGTAAACTTCTTCACATCTCTGAGCCTGTTTCCCCATGTGTAAAATAGAGAAGACTAGTTCCCTCCTGCAGAGACCTCTATGAATATTAAATGAAATCGTTCAAGTGCAGAGTGCTGAGCACAAGGTCTGACACAGTGCAGTGCTCACCCAGCCCCTGAGCATGGGTGGCTTGTGGTTTTGTTATTGAGCAGGAGAACTGACCAGGTACTAATGGGACTGGTGGCTGGGGAGGGCGGCAGGTGGGGGTGATGGGCAGACCAGGGTGGATGAGGATCATCTCCAGGGCTTGTTCACAATGCTGATTCCCAGACCTTGATTCTAAAGATCTTGGACCTGATGAAAGAGTGTCAGGTCCAAGGACTCCAGGATCCAAATTCTCACCCGAAGTGAGGCTCCTGTAGGAGGGCCCAGGACTCATCAGTAACATATCCCTTCCTTAGACACAGATATTTGTTCTGGCTTTGGGTTTATTCTTTGGGTGACCTGTGTAGACTGTAAAGTAGGGGTAGCACTCCCATCCTCCTGGAGTTCTGGGGAGGAGTCACCAACAGCCCAGAATGCTGCCTGGCCAGGGAGGGCCCCTTGGCAAGAGTTCCTGTCCCTCTTCCTGCAGATCAGTGTGACAGGGACATTCTGAAGCTGATGCTCCAGGGAGCCGGGGACAGGAGGCTGTCAATAGCGTTTGGCAGGAGCCAGGCCCTGGCACTGTAAACAGTGACCTCATGGCTGAGCGCGTTTGTTTGTGCTTTGGGGATTTGCCCTGGTTTCCGGCTGCTGCCTGTGCTATCTCAGCCTCCCTTCGCTGGGGGAAGCTGAGATCAGATGAGACAGGCACGTGGGGCCCTTCAAGCCCTGACGCCCTGACACAGTGAGTCCACTGTTGGGGCTTATTTTTAAAACTTTTTGTTTTGGGGCTGGGGATATAGCTCAGTTGGTAGAGTGCTTGCCTTGCATGCACAAGGCCCTCGGTTCAATCCCCAGCACCAAAAAACAAACCAAAAGTGGCTTAGTGGTTGAGCGCCCCTGAGTCCAATCGCCGGTACCAAAAAAAAAAAAAAAAGAACTTTTTTTTTTTTTGATACCGGGGATTGAACCCAGGGGCGCTTAACCACTGGACTACATCCTTCAGCCATTTTTTTATATTTTATTTAGAGACAGGGTCTCTCTGAGTTGCTTAGGCGCTTGCTAAATTGCTGAAACTGGCTTTGAACTGTGAGCCTCCTGCCTCAGCCTCCCCAGATGCTGGAATCAGAGGCCGGCACTGCCGTCCCCTGCTAAAACTTTATTGTGGCTAGTAATGCAATATGTCTTCAAGCTTTTCCCCATATCAAGACCGGATTGACCCACCTGAGTTCAATTTCCTATATTGGTCTGGTAGATTCCTGACTCTGTGACCTTGGGCAAATGACCTTTCCTTTCTGAGACTCAGAAGGGGGTTAAAAGAACGTGCCAAACTTTTGGGGGGAGGGCTCACATTGGCCTGGGGATGTAGCTCAGTGGTAAAGCACTTTGCTTGGCATGTGCAAAGCTCTAGGTTTCTTCTCTAGTACCACACCAAAAAGGAAAAAAAAGTGTCTGTGTATGACCACTGAGGATCATGACGGGAGGGACACACACACCCGGGCCATAGGACCTTAGCATGTGAGCAGCAATGCTCTTTGTGCCCGTTGACGTCACACAGACGCTTTGGTCCCATTGGTGGATTATGGGCTTTTTTTTCCCTGTTGGACTCCTGCAGCTACCTGGAGTGGGCTTTATTGACATAGCAGCCTTGAGGGTGGGGACCTCCCAGGGCAGGTGCCGCTCCTAGTGTACATTCAGTCATTCATTCCTTGTCTCCCTCTCTTTCTGCTTGTTGGAGCCTGGGATTTGTTTGTTCATCCATCAAGCATTTATTAGCCACTTGGCGTGTGCCAGACCCTGTGCTGACCCTGGGACACAGATGTGTATGTCTAGGCAGGGTCTGGGACCTCCATCTGTGTGCCCCACCCCTCCTGCCCCAGTGCTGATGAACGTGGATGGAGCAGCCTTCAGGACAGAGGCTTCCTGGAGGACCCGAGTGCCAGAATGGGGATTATAGCCAGAAGCCTTGGGGCTGAACATGTCCAGCCAAAACCCTAGAGTTTGGTCAAGGTGGATAAACAATGCAAAACAGTCATCTTGGTAAAGCATCCAAAATCTTTGTATTGGGGCTGGGGCTGTAGCTCAGTGGCAGAGCACTTGCCTAGCATATGTGAGGCACTGAGTTTGATCCTTAGCGCCACACAAAAATAAATAAATAAAATAAAGGAATTTTGTTCATCTGTGGTTGTAACTACAAAAATTTTCCAAAAAAAATCTTTGTATCATGTCACCTTGAACATGTAGTCATTCGACAGCTCTGTGTAGCTGTTTTGTTTTTGTTGACATTCCTTTTTTTTTTTTTTGTAGTATAAGGGATTGGACCCAGGGTGGCTCTCTCTATTCTTTTTTTTTTTCTTTGTAACCAGGATTAAACCCAGGGATACTTAACCACTGAGCCAAATCCCCAGCACTTTTTAGAGACTGAGTCTTGCTAAGTTGCTGAGGCTGGCCTCAAACTTTCGATCTTCCTGCCTCAGCCTCCTGAGCCTCTGGGTTACAGGTGTGTGCCACCTTTCCCAGCTCTCTCTACTTTTGAGCTACATCCCCAGCCCATTTTTTCAGATTTTATTTTAAGACAGAGTCTCACTAAGCTACCTAGGCTGGCCTCAAACTTGAATCCTCCTGTCTCAGCCTCCCAAGGAGCTGGGATTATGTAGCTCCATACCTGGCTACATAATTCTTAAAAACAATTTAAAGATGGGTCAACCAAGTTCATGAAACTGCTAAATAAACACATCTTTGAAATGCACTAAATTGTTGAAAAATAATAAAATATAAAAACTATTTGAGCACCTCCTATGTGCCAGCCACCACTCAAGCCTTCTCATTGATTTCTCATGAGGTGACTATTTCAAACCCTTTTTACTGCTGACCAAACTCAAGATTTTGGCTGTTAAGCAACTGTCCTGGGTGACATGGCCAGAGAGTGTGGAGGCAGGCTCTGGTCTAGTTTTCCCCTCTGCAAAGTCCTGTTCTGATATCGAGGGGCCGATTGTTCATCCCGTTTCAGGAACAAGCAGTTTGGTGACCCAGAGAGTCAGTAGGGGAGGCTCAGGGCCAGTGTCTGCCTTTCCTTGGAGATCTTCAAGGGCAGAGGGGACAGTGGGCAGTGGAGGGAGGGGGGGTGCCAGTTTCCTTTCTGGCTGTTGTTTTTCCTGGCCTGCCCTGCACATTGCCAAGGGGTCTGTGCTGAGCTGGGCTTGGGCCCAGGCAGAGGGTGAAGCCAGGGAGGGCCCCCTTCCCTTCCGGCAGGGAAGAGGCGTCATGGTCACTTCCGATACTGGCGGGCATAGGGTGCTGGGCTCTTGGCCCCATGAGTAGGTCCTGCTGGCAAAGCCTTCATATCCCCGGCGGAGCCCTGGCTGCACTGGCTCCTCTGTCTAACAATGCATGGAGGCAAAACAGACTCCCAGCTCAGCTCGGCCCACACCTGCTGCGTGGAACCATGAGCAAGCCACTTCCACTCTGAGCTTCAGTTTCCTCATCTGTAACATGGCAACAGGACTGGGGTGGAGGAGAATGAGTCTGGCACCCAGTAGGTGTTTGACTAACGGAGTGCCCAGCCCACCTGGGAATGGAGTCGAGATGCACTTTACCAGCTCAAAAGACTCTCATTCCCCCCAGGCCTCCTTCCCTGCCCTCCCGCATTCAGCCAGTGGAGGGGACAGGACAGAGAACATCTTTTAGGAAACAGGGTGCTATTGCTTGCAGAGTCCTGGAGCCGGGGTGGGAGACTGCAGCTCTTTCAGCTCCTTGTGTAGGGATGACTTGGACTTCTGCCTAGCCTTTGTCATTTCGGGCTTGTTCTGTATCCTAGACAGTTGGATACAGGCCTCGGGGTCACGGTGACCTCCAGTAAGTCATGCCTCTCTCTGGACATTAGCTTCTCAGAACAGCAGCCACGACTCACCCAGCGCTCACTGTGGCAGCCCTGGGCTGAGCCTTCGTGTGCAGTGGCTGATATGCTCCTCCTGTCGGGCTCATGAGGTTGGTCCTGTTATGGCTGTACCCAATTTATAGTGCAGGAGACTGAGTCTCCGTGATGGGAAATGCCTTGCCCAGGACCACACGTCGCTCACCTTGCTCTGGGCTTCCACTCTGGCTTACTCCCTGCTGAAGATAAGCTTGGGCTCCACCATAGGCCCTTGAGAGGACGGGCCAGGGGTGGCTTGGTGAGGTTCTGAGAAGCATAAAAAGCCCCCACATAAGTGGAAAGGCATTCCTAAGAACAGATGGGACTGTTGCAGCTTTGGGGACAGCACATTGGGAGCAGGGGGCATCTGGTTTTGAGGTTTGAGTCTGTTGCCTCCTGGATGCAGAACACCTGGTGAATTTTTTGACCTCTTGGTGCCTCAGTTTCCTCATCTGCTAAGTGGGACTGACGAGACGGGGACATGCCTGCAGCTGTCAGTGGTGTGGGGCAGGAGCCAGCTCACACCCTTCTCCTCACCCCCGGACCAGGTCTCTAAGGACATCTCCATGCGGCTGCACAAGGAGCTCGAGGTGGTGGAGAAGAAGCGAGCACGGCTGGAGGAGGAGAACGAGGAGCTCCGGCAGCGGCTCATCGAGACCGAGCTGGCCAAGCAGGTGCTGCAGACGGAGCTGGAGCGACCCAGAGAGGTGAGTTGTGCTGCCTCAGGGCTGTGCTGACTGGGCCAGCGGGCACATGCAGCCCACCTAGCTGGTGTCTCTCTGATTGTGGGAAACGGGCATGGATCGGCCTCCCTAGCTGGGTTGCTTGTTCATTCATCCCTCCAGAATGCATTTTCTTAGCACCTACTGTGTGCACTGTGCATTAGACCCCAATGATACAACAGTAAACAAGATACATACCCTGTTCTGTCCTCAAGGAGTTCCCAGGACAACATGAGAGATGGTCACCCCACTGCCTCCGGTAGGGTTCGTGGGAAGCACATGCTACCATGCCCAGCGTGGGACCTGGGCTTTGTGCCTCAGTGTCCTCATCTGTGAAATGGGGCAGTGGTGCCCTCATCATTGTGAGCCAACTGGGTTAGCTGGTGTGGAGATCTTTTAGGGACTGCCGGCTGCTGCCGTTTGATGTGGGGTGGGTGCTGGGCCTGGGACTTGGGCCGCTATCTTTGGGTACTAGATGCTTCCTGAATGTGATCCTACGTACCATCCTCTCCAACTTTGCCCATGGCAGGCCCTCCTCCTGGTAGACCCTCTCCTGCTGTGTGTTAGGCATCATGCCAGACAGTTTATCTCAACATTTTTGTAAAGGACCAACAAGGTTGTGATCCATTTTAAGGATGAGCAAGCAGCTCCTGAGAGAGGGGCGTCCTCAAGGTCTGGCAGGGAGGGCCCAGGGGGGCTCTGCAGAACGCCATTAGGAAACCATCAGCCTGGGGAACCCTCAGACAGGAGTCATCCTGGTTCCAGGGGCCTGTGCTCAGCGTCCAGGGTGGCCTGTGTCCCAGATGTTCAGCTGGGCCTCAGCTGGTTGGCTGCCCAGGAGGTATCCTAGACTCACACGTTCTTCCTGGGCAGGTAGGCTCTGCATGCCTGCTTCCCCAGAGCGGAGCATGCCAGCCGTCCAGGACTGATTGACGCAAGCCTGAGGACAGAACAGTCCTTCAGCTGCCTTTACAGTGGTGTGATGCTCTAGTGCCTTCTCTGTGTGGAGAGGAGGCATTTGCTATCAGGGCTGGGGAGAGAGAGGCTTCTCCCTTCCTGCAGCCTCCTGCGCTCCATAGCCTGGCCCATGGTGCTGGGCAACATCCTCACGCTGGTTACTGCCGCCTTGATGGTGAAAAGGGGAGAGAGACAGTTTCACAAAACACCTTAGAACTCAGTCTGTTCCTGTTGTGCAAGTAAGGAAACTGAGGCCCACAGAGGACCTGCTTGCAGAGTTCACTCAGCCTTTCCTTAGCAGAGACATGCTGCGAACCAGAAGCTACTTCCCCTCCAAGTCCTTTACTTCCTTTGAATATCAGGTTGATAATAGTACCCAGTCTGTGAGGTTGTTTTGTTTTGGATCATTAATAAGATTGAGTAACCAGAGGGTACTGGTAAAGTGTATAGTTATTAAGCTTTTTTTTTTAGATAGGCACTCTTATTGTTGCCCAGGCTGGCCTTGAACTCCTGGCTCAAATGGTCCTCCTCCTTCAGCCTGCTGAGTAGCTAAGTCTACAGGCATGCGCCCCCGATGTACTTAGCATGTGTGAGAACCTGGATTCAATCCCTAGCACCCAAAACATCCAGATTGAGTAACACAGAAGAAGGTAATGTGGCAGAGCCTTGGAAAATTAAATGTAGAATTATTGTATGATCCAGTGATTCCAATGCTGGGATGTACACCAAAGAGTTAAAAGCAGGGATTTGAATAGATATTTATATCCCACGTTCATAATAGCATTATTTGTAATAGCCAAAAGACTCATGCAGCCCAAATGCCCACTAACAGACGAATGAATAAGCAAACTCTGTGTGTGTGTGTGTGTGTGTGTGTGTGTGTTGATAGATAGTGAATATTGTTCAACCTGAAGAATGAATGGGGCTGGGGCTGGGGCTCAGTGGTAGAGCACTTGCCTAGCTTATATGAGGCCCTGGGTTCGATCCTCAGCACCAATAAATAAATGAATAAAATAAGGTCCATCAACAACTAAATATATATTTGGTTAAAAAAAAAAGAAAGAGGGGGCTGGGGATGTGGCTCAAGCGGTAGCGCGCTCGCCTGGCATGCGTGCGGCCCAGGTTCGATCCTCAGCACCACATACAAACAAAGATGTTGTGTCCACCAAAAACTGAAAAAAAGAAAGAGTGGGTCTGTGGCTGTAGCTCAGTGGTAGAGCGCTTGCCTTGCAGGTGTGAGGCCCTGGGTTTGATCCTCAGCACCACATAAAAATAAATAAATAAAGATAATTGTGTCCATCTACAACTAAAAGGAAAAAAAAAAGAATAAGTGAAGTACTGACACGTGGTACAACATGGATAAGCCTTGTAAACGTCATGCTAGGTGAAATAAAGCTAGACATAAAAGAACACATATAGTATGGTTCAACTTATACGAGATCCCTTGAGTAGTCCAACTCATAGAGATGGAAAGTAAATAGAGGTTACCAAGGCCTGGGGGGCAGGTGAGGAATTATTATTTAATGGGTACAGTGCAGTTTGGGATAATGCAAAGGTTTTGGAGATGGATAGCGATTATGGTTGCATATAGGAATGTACTTAATACTACTGAGCTGTGTACTTAAAAATGGTCAAGTGTGTAGTTATTAAGATTTAAAAAAAATATTTATTCTTAAGCTTTAGGTGGATACAGTGTCTTTATTTTACATTTATGTGATGCTGAGGATTGAACCCGGTGCCTTGTGCATGCTAGGCGAGCATTCTACCACTGAGCCACAGCCCCAGCCCCTTGTTAAGATTTTTTAAAAAGGGTTACGCCAAGGAGTACAACTCAGTGTTAAGTATGTGCTTAGAATGTACAAGGCCCTGGGTTTGATTTCCCAGTATAAAAAAGGCCTTTTTTTGAAATAAAATTTACCATTTTTAATTTTTTTTTTAAATGGTAAATTTCATTTATGTATATTTTACCACAAATAAAAAAATGGTTCAGGGCTGGGACTGTAGCTCAGTGGCAGAGCACTTGCTTCACATGCGTGAGGCACTCGGTTCGATCCTCAGCACTGCATAAAAACAATTAAGTAAAAATAAAGGTATTGTAGGGGCTGGGGTTATGGCTCAGCGGTAGAGCGTTCGCCTAGCATGTGTGAGGTCCTGGGTTCGATCCTTAGCACCACATAAATAAATAAATAAAATAAAGGTATTATGTCCAACTATAACTAAAAAATAAATATTTAAAAAAAGGTATTGTGTCCATCTACAACTAAAAAATGGTTAAGATAATAAATTTTGTATTATGTATCCTTGACCACAGTAAAATAAAAAAGAAAGTGTATATATACACACACACACACACACACACTGATATAGAAAGATCTCCAAGAGATATTATTAGCAGGAAATGAAAGTTGTAGAACTGCATATTTTGTGTGATCCTACTAGTTATTTTGGAAAGCCATACACACCAGAGTAGTTCTGAAGCCTACGTGCCTACCTACGTAGGAATGTGTAGCCAAAGTCTGGAGGAAGGAAGACCGGCTTGTCTGAGGAGGGAGAAATGGAGGGCGCAGGAGAGATAACCTGACTTCTGCTTTTTATCCTGTTATTTTGTTTTTATTTTTATTTTTGGGGTGGTACTGGGGATTGAACCCAGGGCACTAAGCTCCATTTCCAGCCCTTTTCTATTTTATTAATTTGAACCCTCTTCTCCTGCTCCCATCTCCCAAGCTGCTGGCATCACAGGTGTGCCCAGCTTATTCTATTAATTCTACAGTTTGGGTTTTGGGTGCTGAAGATCAAACTGAGCCACTGAGCTGCGACCCCAGCCCACGTTAGGTTTTTGTTTTGTTTTGTCTAATAATAAGGATGTACTTAGGCCAGGTGCAGTCTCAGGTACAAGGGACGCTGAGGCAGGAGGATCACTTGGGACCAGGAGTTGCAGGTCAGCCTGGGCCACATAGCAAAACCTCGTTTCAAACAAAAGAAGAAGAAAGAGAGGAACAGATGTGCTTGGGTATTATTTGTGAAATTTGAATTAAAAATTGTGAACATAAAGAGCCCTGTATGGAGCCTGGCCCGGAGGAGGGGCTGAGGAAACACTGTTCTCTGCCTCTGAGGCAGACGTCAGCATGTGCCCGTGGTGTCTCAGCATCGCCTGCAGGAGGCAGGAGCCTGTGTTTATTTGCTGTTTGTCCTCTCCCTCCTCCCTCTCCTTCCTGACATGGTTTCTATGGCGACGAGGGTCCCTTAGCAGTTCTGCGGGAGCTGTGGTCCCCTCATGGAGATCTGCCTTTGCTATCCTGACAGGTTGCTGAGGCGCTGCTGTCACCCGACTGGGAATGGGGAGCCCCTGGCCTGAGCCGATGCAGTTGCCATGGAGACAGCTCTTGGAGAGAGAGAAGGGAGGGTGGCATGCCTTCCCTGTGCTCTGCGGTGGCACTGTGGCCCAGCTGGGCTGCTGCTCAAGAGTCGTAACAGCAGCCTCAGTATCACTCCCCCTCCCTGTGTCGAAGGCAGAAAGCCAGGATCAGTGTTGACGCCATTTGTTAGACCATAGCTGCTGTGTCTGAGCTCTTCCCGTACCAGGCACCGCTCCCAGCATCCAACGTGAGTCTTCGGCGTTTAACACCCCCACTCCCCACGCAGCCCCAGGGCATTGTCCGATTTTATAGGCACTTCTCTTTTCTTGACGATTTTTAAGTTGTGATTTAATCCACAGACCATACAGTTCACCATTTTAATGTGTTCACGATATTGTACGATGACCTAGTTCCAGAAGGTTTCCATTACCCTCCAAAACAGCCCCATACCTGTTAGCAGTCACTCCGGCTCTTCCCTCTGGCCCCTGGCAACAGCTAATCCACTTTCTGTCCCTCTGGATCTGCCCATTCTGGACATTTCATTCAAATGGAATCATGCAGTATGTGATCTTTGGTGACAGGCGTCTTTTACTTAGCATAAGGCTTCCAAGGTTTAGCCATCCATGTTGAAGCCTGATTCAGGACATCATTCTTGTTTATGGCTGATTAATA